ATGAGATCTCCTCTCCTTCCTCATGTCCACTATCATCTCCTTCATCTTGTCCGTGTTGAGGCTGAGATTATTGTCCTTGCACCATGACACCAGATCGGCCACCTCCCTCCTGTAGGCTGCTTCGTCCCCGCCAGTGATGCAAACTATCACTGCATTGTTGTCCGCGTACTTTATGATGATGTTGTCTTTGTGGGAGGTGAAACAGTCGTGGGTGAACAGGGTGTAGAGGATGGGACTGAGGACACATCCCTGTGGGGTGCCAGTGTTCGTAACAATGCTGGCTGAAGTCTTATTGCCAATCCTGACAGTCTGGGGCCTGCCAGTCAGAAAGTCCTGGAGCCAGTCACAGAGGGTGGGGTATAAACCAAGTCTCTAGAACTGCTGTCTTTCACCTGTGCAATATTGCAAAAATCAGGAGCATCCTGTCTCAATGTGATGCTGAAAAACTGGTCCATGCATTTGTTACTTCTAGGCTGGACTACTGTAACTTTTTACTATCAGGATGTCCCAATAATTCCATAGAAAGCCTCCAGTTAATCCAAAATGCTGCAGCCAGAGTACAGTACTGACAGGAACTAGCAAGAGAGATCATATCTCTCCCATATTAGCTTCTCTCCACTGGCTCCCTGTAAAATTCAGAATAGAATTTAAAATCCTTCTCCTAACATACAAAGCCCTTAATGACAAGGCTCCATCATATCTTAAAGACCTCGTAGAGCCTTATCATCCGAGCAGAGCACTTTGCTCTCAGAGTGCAGGTTTACTTGTGGTTCCTAGAGTCCACAGAAGCAGAATGGGAGGCAGAGCCTTTAGCTATCAAGCTCCTCTCCTATGGAACCAACTCCCAGTCTCAGTTCAGGAGGCGGACACCCTCTCTACCTTTAAGATTAGACTTAAGACGTTCCTTTTTGATAAAGCTTATAGTTAAGGCTGGATCAGGTGACCCTGAGCCTTCCCTTAATTATGCTGCTATAGGCCTAGGCTGCTGGGGGGCCCCATGATGCTCTGAGTTTCTCTCCCCTCCCCTCCTGCTCTCCTTTTCTGCAGGTTGCCCTGGCTCTGGAGCTCTACGTCTCTGACGAGCAGTCACCGGCCACATCAACCTGATCAGTGTTTGGTTGTTTGTTGTGTCCTGTTGCTTTTCTTCTTTTCTCTCTCCTCTATCCACTCACCCCAACCGGTCAAGGCAGAAGGCTGCCCACCAAGAGCCAGGGTCAGTCGGAGGTTTCTTGCATTAAAGGAAGTTTTTCCTCCCCACTGTTGTCAAGTGCTTGCTCAAGGGGGGTTTGTTGGGTTTTCCCTCTGTAATCATAGTGATAATAGTAAGGTCTAGGCCTTTCTTTAAATTTGATTTGATTGGGGGCCATTGGGCTGGAGTCAAATTCCTTGTATTTTTGATAATAATAATAATAATGTTTATGCTTATGGCTTTGTTTGCTAAATTTTGAAAGCAACATAACAATTATTACATGGAGATAAGTTATTCAGTTGCACCATCAAAGAAAAAACAATAGTGTAGTGAGATTTCTTAGTTTGAAACCAACAGAAGTTCCACAGTTAGTACAATAGAGTTAGTCACCCTTCATGGAGAAAACACAGTGAAAAATAACCATTTGGTTAATTATAAGTCTGAATGAACCATTCGTACATAATTGAGGCCATGAATAGAGGTTTAATGAATAGAAATTATCAGTCATTACCCCACCCTAATTAGTCATTTATTCTGTAATAAGACAAGTCTTGATTGCACTACACAGACTTGGCTGTTGTTGGCTCAACCAGCAACACTGATGGTCACTCACTCGACAATACATACAATTCAGAGAGCATGATGGAAAAGTTAAGTGCATCACAGATACAGTAGTTTTTCCCCTTATTTCACTGCGCATGCATGCTTTTTTTCTTTTTTACCCTTCTTTATATAAATGTACATTAGAGAGGCACATTCATACCTGGGAGCAACTCGGGCTTACGCTGTTTACGACTTACCAGCTTTGCTGGAGCAATTGGGAGTTAATTGCTGTGCTCAGGGGTCTTTGAGTGGTGGCTGTTGGAGGAGATATCAGACTTGTTCAGCACTGAGGTTTTTCCATAAGGTGTAGAGATTGAACTTGGCAGATTTCCACACCGACATGCTTAATGAACCTTTAGGCTACATTCACTTAAATCAATGGAAACAGGATGCATAAATGATTAATTTATATCCTTATTTTTAAATCACCTAAGTCAAGATTATAATAATAACACGTGATTTAATATTATGCGTAAAGGCCCCAGTGATGTGGATGCCAGTCTGTCTCATTAATTCTTCAGTTCAGTGGGCTGTGGACAGACACAGAAGATTGACAGGAGATAAGGAGACTTCACCAGCATCCCCTGAATTATTTGAAATGGTAGTATAGTTTAGCTTTGATGCCTCCTATTGCTAAATGGACACAAGTCCCCTTGCGCACGCACACACACACCCTCACACAGACTCTATCAGTCAGTCACCTCAGTGTGAACACATGAATATTGTGAATTGTACAACAAGGTAAATTACTATGTCTTATCAAGCCAGGAAACATCTAACAGCTTTATAACTTACTGAGAGTGGGAATATGGAAATCAGGAGGCTTGGTTTGGTGCAACCCAGAGGCAGGTGTGGTAGTTTTCCAGGTGAAGCAATCATTGCAGTTTTCCATTTAATTCTCCCATGTGTTCAGTTAGCAATCATTTTCAAAATGATTGCTTTATAATCACTTGCAAATAGACTGTGTTTTTAGAGAGTATAGCTGATTGCAGAGTATTGATCAGCAGCAGCACTTACAAGGATTTTCCAGCATCATGTATTTTAAATAAACAACCAGGCTGTTTTAATGGGCATGCACATGGAATCAAATGTGTTCACTGCAGGAAACAATACATTTTCTTCTCAAAGAGTACACTTTTATTATAGAACATTGCAAATGTTGCTCTTGTGCCTCTCAAATACAACCATGCAAACCACTGGCCCCAGCATGCAAACTTAATCACCTTTGTGCGTTTAACACAAAGCAGAGGGGAGATAACAGAAACATGATATTAATGGTATGGATTCTGTCAGACAGGTTTTTATATACCCACTGAAGTCACCAGGCACTGCCAGTAAGTCCAGATTTTATGTATTTGTGTACTGCTATTTTTGTCTTCGCTGTGGGACAGAAGACTCAGTGGACATTATTTAAAAATTATCTTTGTCTGTTTTTGTTGCACAGTGTTACCATTTGCTTTTATCTGTGAACCAGTGTTTTTAGTTCAAAAACCTTTCCGTCATTTTCAGTGGTCCTACTCTGGGATTTTATATCCAAATGCACCTACTGCCATCCCTAGCTTCACACTGCTAACAAGGCTAAAAATCATTACTGTAAAGACTCAACTTGAAGAAACTCCAGTCACTGATGACAAAAGACAAAATGTTCATAGAGTAATTACTGAGAAATGCGTTATTATTATGAGTGTTGCTTTATTACAAATGTCACCATCAACAAATACTGAAGACCTCTTCAGTGAACTTTACACTAAAAAGCAGCAGGTTTGAGATGAAAGGCTGCAAATATGACTTTTTTGACAGCACTTTGAAACATGTTAGCTTTCAAGACAATCCACTTAATATGAAGACTTAGAGAAACCATAAAAATTAATTTACAATAAATAGAAATATTAACCTTAAGTCAGTGTTTCAATTCAAACACTTGATTGATCAGTTTTCACTCTTGACTAAAGTAAAACAATTAGAAAAAGGCATGACAGCTCATGACTAATATGGAGAGATGGGATGCTCATATTTTCAGTGCTTTACATTGAGTGCTCTAAATGCTTTGGACAGCTCTGATTTAAATGACAAACACAACGAAAACAATCTTTTGTGATGAGTTGTCCTTCAAGTATTTTTCATTTCTCTGTGTTTGTGGGCTACAGTACAGTCAAAAAGTGTGAACTCATACCTTGATGGTTTGGTAATACAAACAAGAAAAAAACACAATAAAATGTTTTGTACAGTGACATTCAGTGTAAAAATTCCTTTACAAAAGTAACAGAGTTTACAAAGTGTGAAAAATATTATATTTTCCCTGTTATAAAAAATGCCACTTTGAACGAGGCAAGTGAAGTTGCTTCATATGTATTGAAACAGAACAATGGAGAATATGGAGACACAATACATAGTATACATTTTAATGTGTTGGTTCTGCAGTTCTTTGCTTGTATCTGTTTGAACCAACATGCTACCAAACTCCTGTACTATCAGTGCATTAGCAAAAGGCCAGTGTAAAAACAGGGATATAATGTTTTGAATGTTGAGGTCCAGTAATGATAGAGTTGGATAACTTGTTCTTAGGGCAGAGACACACCAATCTGATGTGAAAGAAGTGGCAACAATGCAGGCCGACTGTTGTGTTGCCTCATGTTGTCTTTGTCAGTTGTATTGAAATAGAACACACCGCACAGACCAACTAGCATGTACATTGTGCGCCTGTGTGAAAGAAATAACTCCCCCTACCAGCAGGTGGTGGTATCTATAATTCACCATTCAGAAAGGCAAAGAAGAAGACCTAGACTGCAGAAATACAAGCTGTAAACAAAGTAGCTTGTTCAACACAGTTGCTGTTTTCTAGCAAATGGCACTGGTGTTCTCTTCCCTTGGTCTTTTGATTGTGGAAGAAGAAAGGAGGCAAAGGAGGCAAAAAAATAAGGATAAAGCACACTAAGGGGGTCAAATCATGGATACTTCAGCGATAGGCTTCCCAGAACATTCTCTTCTTTTGCATTGATTTGCTAAGCTGAACAGAGTGGTTTCTTTCACCTATGAGGTCCGACCGGCCCAATACTGATTCAACATGCCGAGTTGGCTGAAAAGTTGCAGACAGGGTCCGGCAAGTGCCAACAGTGTGGGACACACTGGGAAGACGACCACCAACAAACAGACACTCAACTACAGTAGCTGATGGCAGATTGATGGCTTGGTGTGCCATGGCCCTTAAAGTTATACAAAATTGCTTCATAAATGCTACAGAGGTTCTCAGGAGTGACATTTTTCATTTAATTTCACAAGCTGACATATTTTAAGCAAAGCAGTAGTTCCTGAAATGCAGGCTACCTGCTATTAAATCTATAGTGCTTAAAAATACACAATACTGTAGGTGTCTGCTAAACTGTTGTGACAGATAGGAAGGCGTTGTGTACTTTGGAGCCTTCAGGGACCCTGGCCCCATGGCTCATCAACTCCTGGATGGTCATCCAGTTGTCCAGGATCTTTTTATTTCGTTTTTTCATCATCTTTTTGTGACTGAGCTCCAAGATATTAATCTCCTTCCTGCCCTCAGCTCCACTCGCTGGCCCCTCCCTTAGACACTCAAGTCGGCTCTTCTGCATAAACTCCCGCCTCTTCCTCTGTTCCCTGGCTCGTGCCAAGTGCTGCTTCCTCTCCTCTTTGCTCCAGTAGCGGCCCATCTTCATCTCACTCATAGCATCATCATCTGTGGTCATGCCTCCGCTCCTTTCCTCTCTGATTCTTAGTGCCCGCTCCCTCAGGATGCGGTCACGAGCAGGCCTCCGGGCCACGTAGTGAGTGCCATCAGCACGGACTTTGACCTTCCACTCTAGACGGGGTTCCCCAGGGCGTCCGCTACAGTGTGCAGGATCTCGACAGACACTGAGCAGACTCATCTGGCTCTGGGAATACTCCAGGGATGAGTGCTGTTGTAGCAGCTGCATGTAGCTCTGTAACACAGTGACCAATATTAGTACATAATTGTCAGTGCGTTACAAAAAGGCTGGCATGTTTATTCTTGATAATACATACTTGAAGTTGCTTGGATCCTCCCTGGCCTTGATAAGGGGTTGTCTGATATGACGAACCATAGGGAAGCCCTCTCCTGTAATCTCGAGTCCTCCCTTGCTTCTCACACCTCTCATCATCTGCAGGCAGGGCAGGGTCTGACTCTGACCGGGATGGATTACTCTGATCTGGACTGCTGGAGATAATAGGACCTGGATCTACTGGTCTGCTATGACTAGGTGTCCCCTGGGGCTTGGGGATAGGGATGGGGCTTGAGGGTGTGGAAGAGATCAGTCTGAGATTTTTCTGGTTGGTGATGCTGATGTGTCTCTGCAAAGAATGCTCAGGAGATCTCTCCATACCTAGTGGTGTCGACCATGCACTCTCTGCTGCATTGTAGGCACTGGAGCTGTCCTTCTCTCTGATCGTATTGCTGTTCAAGCACTCTGGGTGTTTGTGGATATCAACCAGCCTGTCATGCTGTTTGTGTCTATCTTTTGGGCTCCACCTCGGTGAGCATGGTGTGGACAGTGATGGGTCCAGCTGGTGGGTTTGGTGGAGCTGATGTGCCTGCATGATGCTCTGGCACTCCAACTCAATGTTGCACAGTTCCTCATTTAGCATCCTCAACTCCTGCTCCACCCCTCCCTTTCCTTCTACAGCATCTGCACCATCTCCATCCCCTCCTCCTTGTTCAGTGAGGCTACACTCTATACTATGTCGAATAGAGTAGACCCCACATTCACCCCCATTCCGGATTTGACACTTGAGCTCCAGAAGTTGCTGGAAGCAATTCTCTAAACCTAAGATTCCACCTCCACTATTACGAATACTCACTACCCCTTTATGAACTTGACCTTTGGACAATGTCCTTTGGTTCTGGGTGTCTGGTGCCACTGTAATGTTTTGTCTTGTGTGTGGATGCTCTGCCTGCCATCGATCCCTCAGGCAACGTACTGGGCTCCTCCTGTGTATTCTGGTCAGCAGTGGTTGGTGCTCTGGGCTGTCGGTGCTGCGTCCAAACCCACTGTCTTGATTGTTGGAGGAACAAGTAGCTGTGTCTGTCATCATCTCTTCACCTTGACACTGGTGTATGAAGAAAGGCAGTTTGAGTCACTTGCAGGAGGTTATTACTGTTCATACATTTGCTAAACACTACACTGTGAAAGGAAGAATGATCAGTCAATTATCTCTAGCAATGACATACATCCTGGGTGATAGCACCTCACAGTTTACGTGTCAACACTTGATGACAAAGCAAGAAGTGCTGCATATGTAGCAAAATGAAAAGTGTGTGGTTGATGGGTGGTTAGCACATGTGACTTTCATGCTAGAGACCGTGTTAACTCTCACCCTATAATTAATGATAATCACGGTCTTTGCATAGCCTTAACCTGTTGCTTTGGTTGTCTAACTGTTACCTGCCATTGTCAGAATCTTCCCTTGACCATAACCATACCAATGTTGCCATGCGCAGATATAGAATTTTTCAAACCTTGTCATTTAACATAATCTGGGATTTTACAGAATTATCATTTATCAATATTTTTCTCCAAAAATAAAGCATTGGAATGATCCCAAGATTACATCAATCAAACCCTGTTCTCTCACAATCCTTCTCTCATCTTCCTCTATTTAGTCTCTTTGTCCTGCCTACCCTGTCACCCCTCCTCCCACTTTCCCTGATGCCCTTCTACCTCTTTTGGACTTTTTCTTTGTCTCTTGATTTCTCACCTCATCTCTCCTTATGTTATGTTCCTTCTGCTTCCTCTTTTCATTCAACATCTCCATCTTCAGCTCTTCTGCAAGTTCCTGCTGCTCATCATCCAGCCATACCTCCTGCTTTAGCTGAAATCACAACATCTCGTCACAAACTTGTCTCTCTGCATGTGAATGTTCATGTTTGTGTGTGTAGATACTCCAGACCATCACACTGACAGTTGGAGGGAAAGGAAAAGGCACTTAGCAGGCAACTGTTACTATTTGACATGGCATCACTTGTCAAAATAGGGCAGGGAGCCTGGGTAGGTGTGTGTTTACCTGGATCTCTGGTCTTGTCACCAGAAGTATGATGCTCCTTGTTTCTTCACAAGACAACAAGGCAACAGCTTTCTCTCTGTCTTGCACTTCACAGCCATTTATCTGCACATCAAAGACAAGTATACAGTAGAGGTGAGAATAGCTAACCCTTGCCAACATTTTTGCAAGACACATTTTGAGTAATCGCATATGTACTGACACCTACATTCTGCCCATTTTTCTCCCTCTATTTCTTTTTCATCCATTTTTGTCAGATCTCTCATTTGTCTTCTCTGCTATCACTTCCTCCATGCACTCAAAGAAAAGACATGGGTTGGCTGCATACTCAGTAAGTGGAGTCAGTTGAAAGTGTATGGTCTGACCTCATGAGAGTCTGCTCTCACCACACATCCAGACATACAATTAACTGTTCTCTGACAGGTGGCATTCATCTTTTCCTTACTAGAGTAATGGGGCTGTCAGAAGAAGATAATAGGACCAGGCCCTTGTCCTCACAATCATTCACAACTGAAACAGAAGCACTACAAATGGAAAACAGAGGGACATATGGAGGTTTACAGTAAATATGAGGCAAGGTAACGTTGGTACGCTATTGTTCAGACTAGAAGCAAATTGAGATCTTGCTGCATGTTGAGTGTATGAACTATATTTTAGCATTGTTTTTTTAATCATTATGCTTACATGACAGTCACTGTCACACTAGTGCAACAATACAGCTTTAACATTTGAATGATGAAATATCTTTTTTTGTTATTAGTTTGTGCCTTTTAGTTCTGCATTACATGCATTCTGTTTTACTTTTAACCCTTCAAGTTGAAATAAATTCACATTTTAGGTACAACACACATTGAGGATCCTAGCATATGGATTTTAAATACTATAATGACAAACATGCCATGATTTTATGATAAATTAATTGTACATGTTTTAGATACTGTAAATTAAGTGTCTTGAATACAGTGTACTAGCAATTAGAGATTTATCCACATTGAATCAGGATGCCCTGTCAATCCTACAATTACATATTAAAAAATAAAAGTTTCCCTCATGTTTGGTGAAGTTAATGCTTCAAAGCAATGTGCTGGTCTTGCAAAGCACAGGTTCACTTTCAAAAAGTGTTGTCACTGCAACCCCCCCAACAGACAAGACCACATGGTTCTGTACTATAATGGCCCCATCATGTAGGAACAAAGAAGTGCTCAATGGTAATGAAGACTGTTCTGATGCAAACAGGTCAGTAAGCCACCAGAGTAACCTTAGTAAATAGGCTTTGTGGGTAAGCGCAATTAACCAATCAGGCAGCAAGAGGCACAGGGTGTTTTGTGTAAACTCATTAACAAAGTGAGTGAAATCAGGCCAGTGAGGGTTTCTGAATAAATATGTAGACAAAAGATGTGTACACATGTACGAATATTTTCCCATATGAAAGTATCCATCTATGTATAGAAGTGTGAATATGTACAATGAAAAAAGAAAGGAAAAAATGTAATAGACTGTAAAACATTGATATACTAAACTTGGTATACACAAACATGACAAAAGTACTATATATTTACAATAAAAAAAACTGCAGTAGTTACAATACAGATAATTATTAAATATATAGTTATATATATACTTAGGGTTCTGTGCAGATTATTCAAGAAAAGTAGCAGAAATCAACTCATTATATCTTAATGGGGCCCTGGTCACCTTGGTTACACACACCTGGTGGCACTTATTGGTACGCCTGGGGTCAAGAGTGAAATCTTTTCCACTTTGTTAATCCTGTTTTCCAGTGGGAAAACAATGGGCATCGAAACTATGTTTCACAGTATCTGTAGCAGACTGGCTAACAATGCAATCCAGTGTAAATAAATAAATAAGTAAACAAGCCAACTGTATGTTTCAGTAAGTGTATGTATGTAATAGTAGTGGTATCTGTTGGTGTCTGCAAAAAGGGATGTGAGAAAGGAGCTATCCCGGTCTCTGATCCCATTGGTGTTCTTGCATAATGAGACAGAGAGAGGTGCTTGAAATGATGTAGTGCCTGGTGTAACTGCAATTGGGGACTTTAATTTCCCTGGTAAAATGAGGTGATTAAATATACATATGCTTGCCAGAACTGGAAACACCAGCAGCTTGGATGTTCTTGGAAAAAAATTAGCTCTTTTTCTGCACAAAAAATAAACAGGAACATGGGGATTTCTTTTATTTATTTATTTAAATCAAATGCTGATATAAAAGTTAAAATTCTGCCAGTCATGAGGAATACCAAGTTAAAATTAGACAAACCATTAGGAACCATGTGAGGTCATGAAAACATGCACCTGTAGAATACGATCTCCTTCCTTAATGCGTTCATCTTTTGCTGCTATACTGTTTGGCTCCACCTGCACAAAACAACATGAAAATCAGTGCTGGAAGATGGAAGAAAGGATGCTTATTTTCTCATCAGTAACCTTGTATTTTCCATATGATTTACAGTAGCTTTTTTTCCTGAGTTTTGTTGATGGTGACTGACACTGAGTGAAAAAAGAGAGGCAGTAGGAACTTGATATACTTCTGTTGCTCTTGCACTGAGGATCAAGAACAATAGCTGTGGGGAAAAAGTAAACCCTAGTGGAAATGAAGAAAAGCACCACCCACTTCCCAAAGTCACACCAATATTACCCATCCATGCATTTTAATGAGAGAAATTAGCATTTTATTGGCCTTTATCAAACATACAAAAATAGACATGTTCTGTCAGCGGGAGACTGCTTTCACAGTTTTAGGTTAAATGGAACAACTCACTTTCAGCAGGCGGGCTGAAATCAATAAGGCATGAGACGACGCTGTTAGCTGGAGCATATAGGCTGAAAGGATATAAATATACTGCATACCTTTGTAATTCTGCCAACTTTATAGCTTCATTCTAATCCTCATAGCAGCTCTTAATTTTCACACCCTCGCCTTTGTGTTCATAATGGGATTAGAATTGCACCTGCAGTCAGACTCTAATTCAGTTTGTAGTGCTTAAAGGCCTCATCATTCTACCATTCATTTAAGTTTGGTTCAAAAAACTGCTATAATTTCTTTTCATTTTTTCTTAAGCAATTTTACAAGAAGTCTTTTTTTCCCCAAACCAAAAACCCCTTGAATTTTAAAAAGAGTCTCTATAATATTTTTGTTCTATGTTTCATATTCAGAATGGGTAACATAAATGTGAGAATGTGTTGTTTAACATACTGTGGTGGAGAAAGATGGTTGTTGCTCAGAGCTATTTAAAACCTTCAATTAAAATGTCAATTAAAGAAGACGGAATGAGAACGGCATGACAGGAATCACATTTCAGACCTGACTTCCTTTTTGGCCACGTGTAGCTCATTCTCAGTTGATATTTGACTGGCAAACAATTTTCTCTCCTTCCTCACTAATTCAGTTCCACTTGCTCTTTGCTTCAGTATGTAAATATGGAAATGCAACTGGGATTTTATGCCATCTTTTAATAGCTTCCTGCACCAAAGGAAATGGACGGTGACACTCTGAGCTTAATTTAATGAACACATGGCCTTGTCTTTATCAGACCAGATCAGGGAGCACTTTTTCTATGCTACAGTACTTCTCCGGGGCACAGCACTTCATTATACAAGACAGTAAATATCTGTTTTGTATTCAGTAATTGTGTGACAGAAAGAAGCGATTGCCATCATGGCCTTAACCCACCTGTTGTATGTTCATTTCTCAGGAACAGCAGTGATGTTCCTGGGTTAATTTTACCATTACTAACTATTTCAATAACTATTTAGTGCAATGGTGTTCTTTACCTCTCACAGATTATAGTTCAATGAGGATAATGCACTCGTTTTTCATAAAAAAAAAAAGCATGTTAAAACTTTTTTAATGTACACTGGAAAGACCTACATATAAAATACATTATTTTTACATGACATTGATTTTTTTTTTTATTTTATTTTACATTTTGATACCTTGTCTGCTTATGAAGGGATGTTGATAAATTAACATGAGACACCTCTTCTGTATCTTTGTAATATAAACATGCAGCGGGAGGTTGCAAATACAGTATGTGAAATGAACCATTTTCATTTTCTATGTTGATTACACCTATTAAGCCAAGCAGAAGAAGTTTCATACCAATAAAAAACTTTTAAATATTGTTTTTAGATATTTTAATGTTACAACATAACAGCAGGGTTTTAAAAAAAACTGCTAAATGTAGTGACAAGGTGTAGCACTATTTTCTCTGTTCCTACCTGGCTGACGTAAATGGCAGTGTCCTCCTCATTGTCGGTCCTGTAGCACAGCGTCAAGCCAAGCTTCTCCTGGCTGCTCTGCCGACACAGCTCCACCTCCTGTTTCACAGAAGAAGAATGTTAATTCTTTAAACCACCAACGTTATACCTATTATGAGCCTAAGTTTTCCCCCGGTGGACTGGATGGATTCCAAAACCGTTTGAAACATGGAGTACATCTGTATTGCTGCTGAAATGATACCACCCAGGGGAGATGAGGCACAACAGATTTTTATGCTCTATATTAGCGTTACTAATGAGTTTGTGAGTTTTTTCATTGTTCCATAATCAAAAGTAGTGTAATTGCTTTAGGCAAAGAGGAACTTTGTTAATGTACTGATGCTACAATGCTAATGCTACAACCTTCATATGCTGTTCATAGGTTTTTCCAGGCAGCTCCCTGCAGGTGGGGCTGTTTCTGTCACCTGCATGGAAAGCTACAGTGACTCTGGGGACTAGTTGAGGTGAGTTTCTTTACAGATACTGTATAGAATGAGTAATCCCTGTGGTGGAGACATTTCTGTGAGTTTCCTATCTCTTAGGCTTTTGCCCACTCTGCTTAAATGTGTCCTAACTCTCCTCAGATTAGATCAGTTGTTTGCAACTGTGTACAGACCCTGACCCCATGTGCACTTTTCTTAAAAAGAAAGAAGTAACTTATGTCCACTTGTGTTTTTGTACATATGGTTTTTTTTTTGTTTTTTACTTGGAGGAAATCTAAACCCAGAGTTGCCCATGTTTTTCAGAGGCAACGAGTCTCGATGCCTTGACTGTTTGTGTCTTAATGAATATTTCATTTTGCATGTACAGGTTCAGAGTGAGGCTCTGTCTGTGTACATATGTGTGGCATGTAAATGGGAGAATACTGTCAATGACAATCACTAAATCTTCTCAACATTCCTCATGCCCCGCAGTCAACTGTAGCTTAAACACAGCCATCGGGAGGGAGCGGTCATTTGGCGATGTGGGAAGGTGTACGACACCGACTCCCATACACTGTCAGGGAAGACAAATGGCAGTGTCACACTCATCAGTCTAGCTTCTGGTTTTAAATTTTTAACAGTAACCCACTGTATGTGTTCAGCTAACATGCCTTATTCTTAGGATACATTAAAACTGCTTGTCTTATTGTTAGGATACATTAGAACTGCTTACTCTAGCATAGAATGAACCATTAGGGGGTTTTAAATTGGGTACAGGATGGCTTTTTATGGTTTACACACAGCAGCTTTGACTTACAAAGGGTTTCTTCAGGACTGGTGATGTGTCAGAAAGAAAGCCTCTGGCATGATGTTCAACTAAATGCTGAAATGGACAAAACAGGTGAAGCACTGTGATCAACAATTGGGAAATGGGTGTAGATAGTCCTACTGTAGACTTGGGAGACCGATGTTGACTTGTACAGATGAGATAATGTTGTAAAATATTGAATTTACGCAGATTACATTTTAAGAAAAAATTGGGGGAGGCTGTGGTTTAGGAGGTAGAGCAGGTCATTTCCAAATCAGCTGATTAGTGGTTCAGTTCCTGGCTTGTCCAGTCAACATGTCGAAGTGTCCTTGAGCAAGACACCGAACCCCCAGCTGTTCCTGGTGATAACACCAGTGTGTGAATTTGTGAGTGTGAATGGCCATGTAGTGTGAAAGCGCTTTGAGTATGCTGTAAAGCGTAGAAAAGCGCTATAAAAGTATAAGACCATTTACCAAGACAAATGTACAATATCAGGGCAACTGCAAATGTGTGTAACCATTGAAAATATGTAAAAGTGTTGGTCAAGTTACAGCCACTGAGTGGGTACTGGAGCAGAAACACAATTATGTGCATTGATGTGAACATTTATCAGATACATTGAAAATAAACATTTCTTCTCTATCTTTAGGAAATTAAAATTAGAGCAGCTTATTTGAATCTTTCATGTCTCTGCTTTAAGGTGAAAAAACTTTAAATCAGCATTACTTGATTTATTTGGCAGTTTGATGAGGGCACTAAACTCTAAATACGTCACTGAGATATTTTCGCTTCATAATGTTGATATGGTGAACATGTTACTGTGCCTATTTATACTTCCATCAGACACACAGCAACATTAGCAGCTATTCAATATGTAATATTCACTGTCCCTTACTTCAGTTTGTTTTATGGTGACCTAAAATGACTACAGTGAGACACCACAATGACCACAAAAAGACAAATCAACACAAAGAGACAAAATGACCAAAATGTTCTTTTAAATTTTTGGCTTTTGCCAATTGGGGAGTGTTTTACATGTCTGTGCCCAGGAGCCCACTGTTTCATAATTCTTCCATGCTAGATTGACTTATATGGCTCTTAAACTACCAAATGCTCCATTTTCTTCAGCATATATTTGCTAAAAGAAAAAAAGTCTATCTGGTGTTTGGATTTGAGCACGTAGCAGTGGGTTTATCAGACACAGCTCCCTGCTGTATCTGTAAATGGATTTGAATAGAAAAATGAGATGGAGTCAAAACAATGAATTTGCTGGTAATTCTCATTCACCTACCTAAAATTCACCTGTGCAATAAGAACTTCATAAATAACTATGTTACAACTCAACACAGCAGAGTAAACGTGCACATGCACACAATAAAAGATAACATAGCACAGTGTAAAGTATTTGATATAGTGAGCATATTTCTTTACAGGCTTCTATTACTTGCAGTGTAAGACTGCACTGCAGTGCAATATAAATAAAATACAGAAACGCATAAACATAGCCCAAGCATCTGCTCTGTACAACAATGAAATGATAAGTATCACACTGAAAACAGCATGTATTGTAGCAACACCGAAGGTAAGACTTCCATTTCACTGGTTGGTCATAACACACAGGACATTTCTTTAATCCAACTTACTACTGGCTCCTTTTGATCTCTGCTGTGTACAAAGGTAATCACTTAAAGTTAACTCCCATGGTAATCTTCATTAACCCCATGCTGTCAAATTCATTTCACTGCTCTGAAGTTGTAAAAGGGGGGCTATGGGAGGGAGCATGGGGTAAAATGGAATGAGGGTTGGGGGGCAAGAATTAAACCCCAGCCACCTTTTATTCTCTCATGGCAAACCATAGCAGAGATTGACAGGGGAAGTAATTATTTTTGTGGCATTTAACCCTCTGTGCAGACAGGCCTGACCTTCTTCAAAGGTTGGATGTTGGAGTGTGTTAGGAGTTTCTTATATTGCAGCCCAGCACACTGGTCTTGACTCCCCACACTCCTCACCAATTTTGCACACTGGCTGATTTGTACAAGCCTTGACAATAAAATAACAGCAGCATACAGTGAGATCAGACAGCACCAATGCCTTAATGTCAGTGACTACTAGTGTCAACTTGAATGGCCTCCAGATATGTGGAACCATGGGTGCTGAAACTGATGTTTGGATCATAATCTGGGCATTGATATCAGTACTACATTTATGTGCTACAATGCATTGTGGCAGCTGATGAAATTTTCATTGACAGTATATGGTAACCAGTCTTAAACTGAAAAGATCACATTTACCATATGTTACTAATGTATGACAAATAAAGACATTTTAACAATAGGTGTCATCTCAACTTTTCACGCCACATTAAACATCTGTCAGTAGCATTTGAGTCTAATATGCACTTAACAAATACTTCATGTTTCATCCAAAAGAAGTTACTGCTGAGCCGAATGTTCACTGGCTCATCATTTCCACATCGCAGATTATCACATCCTTTCAGCTGTCAGTGTTTTGTAGCCATTGTCTTTTAGGTAGGTATAGTAATGATAACTAATTCAGCCAATCAGAAAAAGCTTGCATATATTTTTGAATGTTTTGAAAGTTTCTCAGAGAAACTGAGCTGTGTTTTGATTATGATGAAGGTATTAATTAGACAGGAGGGGTCTAGCGATACAGTATTTATAATGTTTTATGTGTTTGTTGGTTTGTTCACAGCATAACTAAAAAAAAAAGCATGAATTTTGATGACAGTTTTTTGGAGGGGTAGGGTATGGCCCACAAAGTAATCCATTAGATTTTGGTGCTTATCATCCTGACTTTTTTTTTTTTTTTTTTTTTTACTGTCAATATGGAGAAACAGAGCTGCCTTGGCAGAGGTTTGGGCTTTCTGAGTGCTGTCCAGTTATGAATATAGTATAGCATGGAAATTTTAAGATCCAGCATTACTGGTTCCCGACTTACAGAGTAAAAGCCTTAATTTGTCTCTCTCCACTTCCCCAGTGTTATGGAAGTGCAATACTAAATCACAGGAGTGTTAATGGCAGAGGCACTTTTGAATTTTTTGCTTTCTAAACAAAATAAAGTAAAGCAGAACTGTATCTTTTATACTTGCACAGACAAAGTTTAATAAGATTCTTTATTTTTGAACCATCATTTGTATAACAAATAGAGATCATGTAAGTATCTGAAGTTCAGAGGCAGGACCTGACCTGAGCTACACCTCTTCCATTTTCACACTATTTAACCCACTCAAATTTCCATACTTCTACTTCCGCTTTTTGTTACCAACCCCTCTATTCTTCTATCTCTGCTGGGGGTCTGCCAGTGCCTGAGAGCAGCACGGACCTCCTTAACCTTCCTCAAAACCATCAAGCACACAAGCAACCAAGTACATACAAGCATTCAATATTCTCACTGTTATTTCATCCTTAGTGAGAGCAGGTCCCTGAATATATTTTTGTTTTATTTTTAGGAATTTTAAAAATCTAGCAAATCTATCAGAAGTCAGAAGCCAATGACAATCTATAATTAAGAAATTTTCACTGTGCAACATGGTAACCACACAGAGCTTTTATTAAAAGTTGCCATTAATCAACATTGCTTTGCCTGTGAAATAGATATAAATATTTAAAATGTACTTGACACTTCTGCATGTACTTGACAGTGTTATAGTATGGTAAATTTGGCAGTAGCAGTATAATGACAGCAGGAGTACGCATGTGGACAATCAGTTTGAAGCTAAGCTAAAGATAGTCAGAAGTAATGTTCTTGGGAATGGCAGCCCAATTATGTTTCTTCAAAGAAGAAAGCTATTCATGTTTCAGTTTAATACA